CTTTTCCGCACCTTTTAAATTAACCGCCATAAGAGATGATTACATTCATGCTTTTATTGCATGGTTCGATATTACCTCTTTATATAACCAAAATAATAAACTTTTAAAAATTTAGTTATATCTTAAAATTTTAATTAAAAAACCAACTTTAATGCTCTAATAAAAAAAATTTCTTGCAAAATTTTAGTTTAAGCTATATCTTGCCTAACCTTAATTCTAACTTTATTTTTTTGTAAAGACTAGATTGTTTTAATTTACATATTACACCAATCTTGTATTTTACATATAGAGTAATATTATAGTGCTATAGTCCTACACAAATATTCTCAAAAAAAATTATTTAAATATTTTAAAATTTAAAAAAAATAGATTATAAGTATATTTATAATAAATTTTTAGACCAATTTGTTTAAAAAGTTTTACAGATTAAGAGATACTGTTAAAAAAATATTTAAGATATATTTTTTATCAAAATCCAGAAAATCAAAATTCTAAAATTTAATTATGAATCCACTGTTCAAACTCTGCTTATGATTAGTAATATTATTACTAATCACAAGCCGAGTTTACATATTGGATTCCTGGCATCACGTGATTGATGATTAAATTTCAAGATTTTGATACCATAATTGTGACCAAAATTTGCGAGACACTAAAGAAATAACATTATTATTTTTAATGTTAGCTTTCTACATGTATTTTGTACGTAATCAAATTTTTTGTCCTAAATAAAGTATTCCATTCCTTCCATTCCTGGTTTTAGCGCGAAAACGTCGCACAACTACCTAATTGATACAGTGAATGCCGTTTCGCGGCATTTTCCTATCACAGTGCCAACATGATGCTATATTACCATGCTATTATATGAATGATGCCAAGGAAACCTGTAAGCAAATTTCGAGGTATCAATAAGGTGAGTTTACCCCTGGGAAAATTGTGATATATCGTATTAAATCATTTTATACGGCATTTTCTATTTATCGGATTTTGCATTTACCAACTGTTATTCGGCATTTGAAATTTTATCATTATGCACGTGAGTTACGCACGTTATCCGAATTATTTTAAATCCGTATTTAAAATATATCCGGACAACGTGCGTAACTCACGTGCACAAAAATTTAAAATTTCAAATCCGGTCAACAGTTGGTATGCAAAATCCAATAAATATAAATGCCGAATAATCCAGTTATTCAAACACGAAGTACTCATAACTACGGTACTTTAGTGTTCTAATACTTGTAAAGCTTTACTAGCATTTAAACACTATTGTACCTTACCGGTATTTGCCATATGATGTGACTGGTCTTAAAATCGACCAATCAAATAGCATACAGCAAATACCACTTCGTGCCGAATAACTATTAAGTATACAATCAGTGTTCTGGTTGTCCTTATTGATGCCTAAATATTTGCTTACAGGCTTTGCCTTGGCATCACTCATATAGGTATGGAAAGCTATATGATAAATATTTAATACTATATCAAGATCGATTTTTTGAGATGGTCAAGTTTTAGCATCAGCCGCAACATTAATTTTGGATGGCTTCATTGGATAATATTACTGTAGAATTGTTTTATATAATTACAAATATCGAGATTTTAAAATATATTAAATAAATTTAAAGCCTTCGAATAATTAAATAGATTAACATTTGATAATATATACAATATAAAAGTCTAATTAGGGACCAATTATAGTGCTCAATAAACGATTAAGTTGTTATTTAACTTTAATTTTAATATTAAAGTTACATGCGCTTTTGATCTATTCATTAACGTTGACACAAATTTATAAGTACCGTACCGCACTGCCTTTAGTACCCGGTGTGACACGATTTTTTACATAGTGAAAAATTAAAAGTCACATGTGTTACACAATTGTTTACATCACATGTCACGCATAAATAATATTGTAAAAAATTGATCTGCATTATTTGTCACGCAGGATACTAAAGGCAGTGCGGTACGGTAACCAAATCGGGAACCTTTTCATAACGATGTTGACTAAAATATGAGTGTACTGCTAGCTAATTTTTTTCCCCGACAAGAAATTTTAAAACAATTATATTTCATACCGAGAGTATTTCCCGACAGGTTAGAGTTAAATCGGGTTAGGGTCAGGGGAGGCTGTAGTTGAATTGCCTCCCCCAGGGGCATAAAGTTAAATAGGTTGAAAAACGCTTGATTTCTAATTAAACCTAACTGGTTGTTGTACGGTTATCACGTGATTTAGTATGATGTCAAAAATATCGATTTAAAATTCCACTTTGTCTATAAATATCATTATTTCTGCCAAAATTAGCCCATTTGTATGTTACTTTTTCGAATGGTTCCGAATATATCGTTATTACTTGGTCCAAATTATCGTTATGTACTATCGACTATGACACTATAATTTTGGTTAAAAGATTATTATACTGTTACACTGTACGTAGCAGAATTCGGTTTGGTATTTGAGATATTGCGGACTGTGCTCGATCAATTTCTACGAATTCTATGAATAAGTAATAGAAAATTTTAGCCTGGCTTTTTGTATTTGAGATATTGTGGACTGTGCTCGATCATAATTTCTACGAATTCTATGAATGAGTAATAGAAATTTTAGCCTGGCTTACTATTTATATATAGTCAACTTCAAGTTTTAAATTATTTATTTAAAGAAACGGATTTCATTAATAATTGATTAAATAGTTACAGTATCTTAAAATGAAAGATTTCTAACAAGAGAACATTCGTCAAATTATATATATCTAGACTAGACATTGGATATAATTGATTTGCTTTAAATAAATAATATATATCTGCTATATATATAGCGATAGTATAAATTTAAATCTATATAGAATATAGTGTTAGACTCGAAAAGTTCAACTTATTGCTATGCGAGTCACTGTATAAGTTGCTAAGCTGCTATATATAAATGATTGACAGACTTCTTTTAGTAACAAATAGTTGAAGTCTAAATCTATGATAATATCCAATAGGAATGTATAATAGTAATATTAATATAGTTGATATAACATTTATTTATGTCATTTGATCATCACCTCCGCACGAAAGTAACATTACCACACCTCTAATAATGTAATATGTCACGTCCACTTAACGAACTTAACGTCAATAGGACAATGTATGTAACTACATGTCGCCCTCTTGCTTGTGAAACATTTACGTTATATTTATATTAATGTCACTCTGAATAACAATCCTGCACGGACTGATAATGGCATAAAAAAAATCTCTCTTATCTAAGTTTCATATTCTTTTGTGATTACAAAAAAAAAAAATTAAATAATTCTCTATTCTATATACAACTTTTAAGACAATGACAGAACAACCTCTTACTACAAATACTTTACCATCACGACTTCAACGAAATGGAAAAAATAGTCTTAGTTCTAAAAGTCTTACTAGTCAACTTACCGAAGAGAATTTAAAACTTCACACCACAATGGTATGTCTCGAACGTATGCTAATATAATGTTCTGCTAAACTTGAGTTTAAAATATGAGTTGCCGCTCTATTATCAATATAATAAGTAGCTAATAGTTAAATTATGAATTAATCATTATATAAATTTATTTCAAATTTATTTTATAGTAAATGCTGATATTAAAATAAAAATAAAAATAACAGTAAATTTAATTGTCTTCTTATTAATACTTACCTTTCAATTTGCTAATTACAGGGGCCATCACCACGAGAAGCAAAAACGCATTTAGTATTGGTATATGTGGACCTTCAAAAACAGTTGGTGGCCCTTGAAGAACAAATGCGGATAGAAGCAAAAGCCGCTCAGGAAAAATTTACAATGTCTCTGCCTAAAGATACTCCATCCGTTATACCGGAAATTATACAAATACCAATATCTAAACCTAATCCTATTCCATTACCATCTCATCCTCCCATTGAAGAAAATGATTTATCTGATCCCTACGACCTTAATTCTACATCTCCACCACCACTAAAAAAATTAATAAAAAACATGAAAAGTACACATCGTATAAAATCATTATTTAGAAGTCCATCAAAAAAGACTGTTAACTCGATTGACAAAGGAAGTTTGTCTCCTACTTCTCTCACGTCTTCTCGCACGTCATATTTTGATAGAGATAACGCATCACTCAATGTGGAACCTTCCATATATCCAACTTATTCTCAATCCTCTCAACGTTCAAAATCAAAAAAATCAAAAACTCCTTTAAAAAGAATTTTTATTCCACATCCTACTTATAATAGAGCAAATAGCGCTGAAACAATGAATACTCTGACTCACAATAACTTTGACTCATCTGCCAATAATAACCTAGAATGTAGTCTCCCTCGACATTCTTCAGCTCCCTCCACACCAATGTTTCCAAATTATACTGCTCACTTAAATAATGATTTAAGATTAGACTCAACTTCTGCAACTAATAATGAAAGACGTGAAAATTTAATCCTAGAGTATCGTGACAGTGGAATTGCATTGGTTTCCCCAGCTGGTAAATCAACTCATTCACGAGAACATTCATTTTCAACGCTATTACGTAAGATTGATTTATTTAATGCCTTTCATAATCAAACCGGTGAAAAAAAGGTACAAAGAGTAAAACGTAGGGGCTCAGTTCATACTGCACTTGCTAGATCTAAGGAAAATGAACAGGAATTATTAGCTTTTCGCTATCCGAGTTTAAATGACAATGAGATAAGATACTCTACTGGCAGTCTTTGTAATAGAATATTCGATCATGATGACAGCATCGGAATCAGGGATGAAAAGAAATCTCTTTAGACCGTTTTTTAATTTTGTTTAAAAAAAAAAACTTTTTTAATCATTGACAACTGATGGAAATCACCATGTCTGATTGGTTAATTCTTAAATACAAGAAAAAAAAAAGACTTGGAAAAAAAGACTTGTGGTTTCACTGGAAAATTTAGCTATGATTCTTGTTTCCAGGGATATCATGTTAGTCAATTCTAAAATTTTACAAAAAGGGTGGGTAATATAAGAGGGACAATTTTTTTAATGCTAAAAGTGTTCGGATTTGTTTCTTTCAACTATGAATTCATCTTACGATCATTTCATCTTAAGATTCATGGTTAATTTAAACTACTGATTTTTATTTAAACCTGTAATATATTGGCATCTATTTATTGATGGCATAAAAAAAAAAAACAACATTTTTGATATATGATGTAGACACGTAATAGTGTTTAATAGCATTGTAAATTAAGATTTGTGAAAGCTTAAGCTTCAACAAATAATAATAATAAAACAAAAAAAAAAGTGGTGTATTTATGCATTTATTTATTTAAAAAATATTATATCTAATATTTTATTTAAAAGTTTTAATATTGTGTACCGATTAGAAAAATTTACAAAATATGTAGTAATTAATATTTTATATTAATTGACTATTCAAGCAAAAAGATTATTGGGTAAATTATCTTTATTTAAATTTGATTAAAAATTATTTATTCTAAAGAATAAGTTCTTGATTAGAGATTATCATAAATTTTATTTAAAATTCCAACCAGAAACTTTATATATTAGTAAATCATGTAAATTACGATGTACAAAATCTATAGCATACATTGTATTGCACGCATTCACTATCTAAATGTTCACACTATTACCATGATGAATTTAATACCTAATTCCTGGGTCAATATTGTATATATGAATAATTTGAAATAAAAAGTTTTAACCCGAAATCATAACTTTCAATTTAACTAAATAGAAATATACTCACATCTTATATTTACAAGTCTCTGAGCAACTACTCGCTTCGCCTGAAAATTCATACGATATTTCGATATCTAAATCTCGGTTATTCTTCTTATTAGGCGCACAAGATAACGTACCAGCAACAGTTTCACCGCTCATGATAGTAATAGAATCAGTTGTATAAAAAACTGTTTGTTTCCAATGAGTATATTTGGAATGTGGCCCTAAATAATTGTAATAATTATTAATAATTGTTAAATCAGTTCTAACATATTAGTAATTGAAATTTGTCATAGATATCTACTAATTAATGTTAATTAATGTTAATTAATGTGTTAACAAACCTGTGCTAAAGCGGATCGGTTTATGACATGCTGAAAAGGTAATATCGAACCATGCAATAAAAGCATGAATGTAATCATCTCTTATGGCGGTTAATTTAAAAGGTGCGGAAAAG